ATCAAAACCAAAGCTTTTTGGTTTGTAACAAGACATGTTGCTGCAGTTTGACATAAAATCCCAAACTTCAGACAGAAACCATTTAACATTTTCCAACTGAAGATGTTACTGTGTAGACATTACAAACTGAAACTGATGAGACTGTGACATTTAACACAATGAGTTGATGTGCAACTGAGTTTGACCTGCAATAAGAACATTGCCTCATATTCTTAAAGACTGCTAACCCAAACTACCAATCTGATAAGCTTCCTGTTTTACATAGATATCCATTTTTTCAGACTGATGTGCATACAACCGTGATAAGAAGACACGTTGCGTTGCTCAGCTAAAACATGCACATTTTTATATGAACGCAGCTTCTTATTGAACAAAATACAACAAAGCAGGACCATGGCGGTTTTGCTCTGACTCAATTCTGTAGATGCTTTTAATCCTAGTAAAAAAAAGAAAAACTCTGCAGTGACCAGATAAAAATATTTAGAAAACAACATGCTACTACAAATCAAGAATTCATTTAATTCAAATGTATATTTCATGACACCCTGCAACCACTACTAAATCTTGAGAACAAAAGAGTTTCTTGTTCTGGTTATCAGACATGCAGAGGGCTGTTCTGATGACAGACAGATTTATACTCTATATGGAAGATCTTGTCTCAGAAATGCAGATTAGGGATTAGGTTATAGATTTTATTACGATGATAAAGATCTGCAAAACCAAACGTGATCAAACAAAGCAGGCGAGGCACTTTTACACCTTAAAATCACACAATAAAGTGAACAAAAACAATGCACGTTGCACTAAAGAAGACTGGAACAGAGTTTTATGGACAGAGGCTTCAAGACAAACTGCTGTGCTTTCTTATTAGAACGCTTCAAGTTCCTAACCCCCACCGTGACTCATGGGAGCAGATCAGAGAATGTTTAGACTTGCTTTGCTGTCGGCAAAGTTTTTGATCTGCACATAAGAACTCTAAGATGGATGTGACTTCATTTTGCGCTGTCATGCTTTACAGTCAGTTTTCTGATAGTGCAGGTTCTCACAATGTCTTGCAGGGTGATCTAAATTACAACTCAAGGCATTGCCAATACTAGTCAGAGAAGAAAAAGTAGGATGGCATGGCCTCAACCTTCACTGCAGTTATGCAGCCTAATAGAATTAGTTACATTAGTTAAATTAGTTAATAAGAACTGAGTTGAGAGGAACGGTTTGGGGGAACTGACAAGCAGAACTGTTCTGGGAACGTCTTTAATCTGAATGGAGAGAAAATGATGCAGACTGTATTTTATACTGCTAAAATCTGGAATAATATGAATAAAAATGCTCTCTAAACAAACAAACAAAAAAAAAAAAAAAAAAAAAAAAACTGTATGCATTAATCCAACAATTTTCAGTCTGGTCATCTGGACAGTTTCTTTTTTTTGCTGAAACGTTTCACCTTCCATCCGGAAGGCTTCATCAGTCAAGGAAACACACAACACAAAAATGATTTTTTCCCCAAACAGCTTACTCCAAAGTGGAACAAACCAGTTATGTTGGTGCTAAGATGGTGTCTTATTATATAAATTATTGAGCATGGACGTTTTTGGTTTTGAACCAGTTTGACATGACTGTCGATGAGGAAGAGGGCCGGCAACAGAGGAGGGGGGCGTGCCAAAGACACCATCTTAGCACCAACATAACTGGGTTGTTCCACTTTGGAGTAAGCTGTTTGGGGGAAGAATCAGTTTTGTGTTGTGTGTTTCCTTGACTGATGAAGCTTCCGGATATAAGGTGAAACGTTTCAGCAAAAAAAAGAAACTGTCCAGATGACCTGACTGAAAATTGTTGGATTGTAAACCTGGATTATTGAGCATGGACTTTTCTGTATGCATTAATGCATATATTTAATCAAATTTGTGCATTTGGGATATTTCATACACCACTGTCATTTAGTATGATTTAAACTAAAGCTGTTGAGCACTTTTAGGGTTTGTAGTAGAGATGCACGATATTGGATTTTTGGCCGATATCCGATGTGCTGATATAGTAAAACTTATTTGGCCGATAACCAATAACTGACACCAATACCGATATTTTCCCCCTAGACCTATTTACAGACACTACATAGCTTTCTCTGCTGTGGAATTAAACTACTACATTATTCTGCATGCTCTTTGTCAGTTTGGCCTGCTACCAAATGCAGATTATAAAAAAGGAGCTGAAAATGATGTAACTCTTCAACTTGGATTATGTTTATTGTCAAATTTATTCATGACATTTACTCTCTCTAACACAATGACAACACTCAAACAGTGCAAATTTGTAAATTTTCATAAATCTAAACTCAAACCTGTTCACAAGCGACAAGTAAAAAGCGCATAAGCAGTAGTGCATTAATGGATATACTTAACAGTTTCTTAAATTAAAAATTAACTTCAAAGAGAAGCCTTTTATATTGGTGAGTTATTTTTATGGAATGGCCGATGTCTGGTATTTAACTTTATCGTGATATCGGCCGATACCGATACCATGCCGATAATATCGTCCATTCCTAGTTTGTATTTCTGGGAAATCTAACCTAAAAAAACATTTTGTCATATAAATTTGACTACAATATAAAATGAACGTGCATTATTTGAAGGGAATTGTCCCCTGCCTTGCATGCCTAACACTTACACAAAGACCTTGTGTGATATCAGAGCACAGTATGTACTGGGGATGATTCTCTGCTCATTATGCTTAAGTATATTTTATTTTCACCTGCCAGCTAATATTAGCTCAATATCTGCAAAATTGACTCAGAGACATTTTTTTCTGTTGGCTAGTCAGTTAGTTAGCAATTTTGACTTAGGTTGACTCAAAAAGTTAATCAGTTGTAGATATACCATCAATGATTATTTGCGGTTTCAATAAAATCTTTCCACTGGTTCAATAAATAGTTTGCTAACAGAAAAGGTTGACACCAACTGTTAATGCCAAAGTATTAAAGATCTGGAGTAAGTGGTAGTTTCACACTTTTATTTTTACTTTCTACTAAGTATTTTTTCTCTATTTAAGAGTTAAGTGCGTCAAATTTCAAATGCTTCATAATCCTAATTTACTTTTACATTTAGCACATTTCATTCAGTATTTCTTTATGCTTTCATATTCTTGCTGAGTCAATGTAGAAGCTAGTTCTTTACAACTTCTCTTTATGCACTCATGTAAGTCTTAAATTGTTAGACATCAAAAATCTTATTGAGAAAAGTGAAATCACCTTGAGCAAAACTTTTTTAAAAAGCCTTCCTCTGCAGGCATCAAGTGATTATTCAGTGTTTAGAGAGATTTCTTTCATATAGTCGAAATAAGTACAAAACACTTGTTTATTAAACATTTATTTTACAAGAAGCATTTTTGCTGACATTTATGTACAAACTTACAAATATGAATAATTTAATCATTAAAAAAAAACACAAACAGAACTATACATTGGAGTTTTCACATAGTGGAGCAATCAAGAGGGAGAGACTTTGAAAAACCCATCTTGGTAATATTCTAAAACCCTCTTAAAAATTTGTCCACAACCAGTACCGTGTTAGTTTCAAAATGCTACAAAAACGTTCTAAAGAATGAGTGAAAGGTGTACCAGTGATGAAATGACGAAAACAAGACAAAGAAACCCACCTTGTGTCATTTAAAAACCATTTTAAGTGAGTTGATGTGAAATACATTCAACAGATGTAATGTTCTTGTATCCTCTGCTTTGCAGTGGATTTAAGGTCATTCACAGAATAAAAAGGCAGAAATATCAGTGTTCACATCCAAAACATGTGGTAAAAAAGCCCTTAGTGTCGCTGATTTGTTTGTTTTACTGCCCGAAATATCACCATTTAGAATTTGTGTGCAAGATGCTGCGTGCAAAAGGCAGTCGATTAAAAAAAAAAAAAAATCAATTTTAAAAGTGAGTCCAAAAACTTTTTGTTGCATAAAAAGTTGGACAACAGTTGTAAGCACCGTCACAGATGACCAAGTCTTGTTTAAACATATACGTCAAAAGAGTATTGATCTACCAAAGTTAACCTTTGCTGCCGCTCATGAGTGTCACTTCATTCGTTGGTGCTGGTGCGAGCCCCTCAAAGGCAAACACAAGTAAGGCCATGCCCTGACAGAGCTGGGTTTGTGGCTGCCCATGGGCTCTTGGCCAATATTTACAGGACAAATACAATCAAGTGAAAAAGTGTTAGAGACAGAATGAGAATGTTGCTGCTGTGAACGTTTTGCCCCTGTTAAGCACCAAAACTGCAAGTGTTTAGGTTGCAGAGCGATCAAGGGATATGCAAAAAGTAGCAATATAATAATAAATAAATAAAGAATCAGAGTATTCTCAAGTTCGCAAATGTGCAAATCCTCCAATTCAGATGTTTCGTTTTTTGTCTTACTTAGCTTCACAACTCAGATGTTATAGGCAAAACCGATGATTTTGATTGTAGTCACAGTTTGGTTGCTCCCAACATAAAAGCAACTTTTTAATACAAGTTTTATATGTGAAATATTAATGGAAACAACAGGAGAGTTGTTTTTATTTTTTTTACTCCTTCATTTCTTTAAGACAAATGTTTGGCTCAGGTTAATGGGCATTCAGCACCTTTAGTGGACTTTGATTCACCCCAGTTTGATTGAATTGTGCAACGGTGGACACATAAACCCACGCAGCAACCCAACAATAGCTACTATAAACTTCATTTTAATAAATATCATTAAAAACACCAATATGGTGAATAGAAATTGTTGAAACTATGGGAAAAACAAACGTCTCCACATAGAACTTCAGTCTATGAGCAGGAACAAAAACACACATCGACGACTGAATATTAAAAAAATACACGAGGCACTTTCAATAGCAATGTACAAAAAAAAAAAAGGACAGATTTTAAATACTCACTGGGTTACAAGGCAAGATTTAAGGTATCATTTGATCAAAAGCTTACAGGAAGTTCAGTTCTTAAAAACAAGTCAAGTTGGCTAATTTTTCACAAATCATTGATTTCAAAATTGATCTCAACTTAGACTCTCAAAGCGTGGCGAGAGCTTTGATATCCTTTCAAATGATTCACGCTTGACTACGCATACTTCTGTGCCGGACAAGTGAACAACAGGGGACCAGTGAAATGTCAGGACTTTACATTGACCTAACGGCTCATGAGTCCGTATTGTCTTCCTTTGCATATTCTTCTACAAGTTTCTCATAGGAGTGGCTGAGCCCTGAACTGTCACTCGTGAAAACGGACCCATCAGATTCAGAGTTCTGATCCTCTTTAGAGTTGGTTTCAATGTTTTCGTCACATGTAGTAATGGAGATTTTTGCTTTAGAATTGTCATCGCCCTCCTCATCATTGTTGTCGTTGCCGTTGTTGTCTTCCAGCTCCTCTAAGCTAATGCTGAGAAAGTTTTCCTCGTCAATAAAAGTAATGTTAGCATTATGGATTGTCAGAGGATGGTACTCTTTAGAGTCCCATGTCCTTCGATTTCCCGCTCCACCATCTCCAACTCTTTCGCTCTCCATGCCTATGTCCTTGTCAAGTTGATTCTCATACATTTGGTCTTGGTCCAGTTCTGGATCACCCTCCACATGGTCCTCTGTGAGCAGTAAACCGTTGTCTGAACCCAGCAGGTAGTTCTTAGACTTTGAAAAGGCAACCGTGACACGGTCACTGAAACTGTAACGTCTTTTTTGGCGTGGTGACCGGTCCAAGCTGAGGATGGTGTGACCATTAAACACTGGAGCATCGTTACAACTTTTAGAGCGACCAATCTCTTTGGTTGATTTATTTTCTTCAGTGCTGTTACTGGTTCCACTATCCTTTTTGTTTCCGATCTGCTTTATCAAGTCATTGTAGCTGTCTTTCTTTTTGGACAAGAAGCTAAAGATGTTGACGTCATTGGGAGTAGGTGGCAAACGATCGGCGGCTTTGTGAGACTCTTTGTAGTGTTGCATTTCTTCATACGAAAGCTTACGAAGCTTGCGGCGTTTCTTTAAGGCCTTGTGGGCTTCGATCACCATCCGTACTTTCCAGTTGAAAAACAAAGAAAGCCAAGCCAATCCCAGGTAAATCCATACTTCGACAAAGTATCGATATAGAGCAGGATACTCTGTATTTGGGTCCACACCTGCAGGAACAAAGAACATGTAAGAAATCTAAGTCCAAAGATGTTAACTGTTATATATGCAAAGAAAATATTTATTTCACAGCTTACCTGCAACAAAGTCCCCAAAACCAATTGTGGTCAAGGTGACAAATGAGAAGTACAAGCCTTCAATGTATGTCCAGCCCTCCTGAGACATAAACACGAAAGGTGGAAGAACTAAATGAATCAGGACACCCCAGAGCAGAAAAATGGCTGTGCAGGTAAACTGAGCTTTCCTCTGAAAAATAATAAAACATAAAATACTTTAGATAAACGAAATAAATGTCCAAAAATGTGTGGAAATAAAAAGATTCAACCTACCAGTGAAACTCCTTTTTTGGTTAAATACTGGCCCAGGTGCTTGGCTCTGCCGCCAAAGAACTTTCCTAGTTCGCTGATCCAGGTAAAACATAATGGCACTCCAAAGAGCCCATAGAAGATGCAAAATACTCGGCCAGCTGAGGTTTTTGGTGAAATGTTTCCATATCCTACAAGTATTCAAAATTAAAAGAAAATAAGTTGAACAGTTAAGTGGAGTTAAATGTAATATCCGTCACTGCAAACTTCTGAAAATCACATACCGATTGTAGTGATGACTGTGGCGGCGAAGATGACAGCATTTGGCCAGTTCCAGTTGTTAAATGTCTTTCTGCCCGTTATGGTGACCCCTTGGCCTGCAGCATCGGACACCATCTACCAGAAACAAAAATAAAAAAGAAGAAGCTATGAATGTAAAACCAAAGGAACTCGCAATACAAAGACATTTATAAATCTGGCAATAAGCAATCACTCATCATTAAAGATCACGGTAAAATGACTCAGTTGTTTGAAACATCTATTGATTTTCTTGGCAGTTTCTTAGACAACAACCAAGTTTGTTACATTCTAGTTCGAGATGACTTTTGTTAAGAAGTGGTGCTGTGAGAAGAACCTGAATCATTCATTTATATTCAGCAGGATGTCTGTTACATGTAAGCTCCAGTTCTTTCACCACATCCTTCCTGTGATACATTGATAGTATCTCCAGTACTAATGAGGTGAAACAACAACTAGGTACCCTGGAAGTTTGCCTTTAACCCGAAGGCTTTAGTTGTTCCAGTCACTGCTTATTTTTCTACAAAAAAGTAAAACCAAAGTCTGCACCTCTACACATTAAATTCATAATATGTATACAGTTAAAATGCTCAGGTAGCACTGAAGAACTATGTTTTTTTTTTTTTTTTAGATTGTATCCCATTTCACCTAATACAGCAACTAATGCAAAAAGAAAACCATCCTTGTTCAAGTCATGCATCAACTGCAGTGGCATTTTAGTTTGGAAAACCAAAAAAAACCCCAGAAAATGCTTAATCAATCATTCCCAACCATACATGTCCTTGAGTTGCCACAACAAAAATGGAAACCCTCCCCTTGAGAAAAAGCAAACACCCGGCCATGTGTGCCGGGACAATGCATAGCCCCCCACAATCTTTCTGCCAGTGTGCTGGCAGGAGAGTTAATGTGCAGGCATTGGCAACATTCACTTAAGCCTTAAAATACTGGAAGATGCTTGCTTTTTTAATAATAATAATAATAATAATAATAATAATAATAATAATAATAGGTTTTGTGACAGTTCTGCTCTGTAATTTCCAAACATGAGAAGGCCATTCTTTTGTTGGGGGAAGAAAAAAAATGTTTTTCTTTAGTTGGACTGAAGGGGATTTTTAGATGACAACAGTGATGACAAAGTTTGAAACACAACTGGAAATTAAGAAAAAAACTTGACTGGTTTTCTGTTTGCTTATGACTTTTTTCCACTTCCGCCTACAAGCTCAGATCGTAACAGTTAGTAGTAGTAGGATTTATATATATATTCTTAATAGATTTAAACTATTACAATCATGCCACTGCAAATAATTGATGATGGTGACTAAAAGATGGACTCTTGCTAATTTACAGCTGTGTAGAGCCAGCTTGATTTAACATCTACATACACTGGCTCGTCAGTTGCTCCCCTAATATAAAATAACTTTTAGAGGTTTTGAACCACTTTGGCTATGGCTGCCTTAGAGGAGTCGACGGGGGAGAGGGTGGGCCCCAGAAACTATCTTATGCACCAGAAAACTGGTTGGTCCACTGGGTTTGCTGCTTGTGGGACTGAGTTTGTTGTGGTTCCTCAGACAGATGAAGTCCTTTGGATGAAGGATGAAGCATCTCAACAAAAAAAGAAACTGTCCAGATGACCTGACTGAACTTTGTTGAACTTTTGAGGTATAAATGGGGTGTTTGCGCTAGTAGCCTGTGTTTCATGAAAAGCTATTAGCTTATTTTTTTAATATCTTGACATGTAAAAAAAAAAAATCATCTTAAAGTGGTTGGGTATAGACTGAACAGGAAAACCCACCAAAAGCAAAACAATATATAATTAAATAATCATTTACACTTTCAAAAAGTCTAAAGAACTTGAGATAACTTTGGCACAAATTTGAAAATTAAAACTCAGTTACAGATGTATTGACTGCTCTGCTGGGACCAGTATAAAATGTTTCAAGTGTGAGGTGTCAGAGGGATTTTCTTCCTAAAAAGTAAAACAGCTACAGATGTTTTAAACGTTTTGGTCGATGGCCTCTCTGTGGTTGTGCGTTTAGCTCTGCAGACCACTTCAGCTTAATATGGATAAGTTAAATATGTTTGTCTGCCAGATTATACTACTGCTGAAGATTCACACATCAAAACTGCTGAAATAATAGAACACAAAGAAATAATAATATTCAGTCTTCACTGATACAACAACCATGGCAGCCTTTGAAGTACTACTAGACCCAAGTCTATAGGATTTGTATATCTTGGGGGAGGCCACGAGGTTATGCCAGTGTGGTAGGTGAAGAAGCCTATCTGACTTGTAGCATACTCAGATCTGGGACTGGGCAGTTGCTGCTATTCCAGTAATGGCAGGACCTAGAGGCAGTTTGGTCAAAATTACAACTTTGAGCCAAGTTTTCAGACAGAGAGTGAAGAAAGATCTGCCTGGAGCAACTTTTTTATGGTGGACCTGTCTCCAAACAATTTCTACTGTTTTACAGATGGATCTCTTCTGAAGGAGTCAGTAGGTGCAGGGGTGATAATTTTACGCAACTATAGTGAGAGCGAGAGAGTACAAATACGCACTGGATGTAACTGTATCTCAAACTGAGATATACGCAATCCGCCAGTGTGTGGCATCTCTCAAAGACCTTCAGAGTATGGGCAGTTGTCGACGGCAGTGGGGGTGTTTGTGTTGCACGGGGTTGGAATCTGAGCTGCTACCATCTCCGCTTCCCATCCAGAAGTGGCGGAGCTGCGTGGGGGGTTGGGGATTTGTAGGCGGGGTTCTTGGTTCTGTTGACAGGCTGGGGCGCCTTCCTTGAATAATGGTAGGGGAAACACTGCACCTAGAAGGCCCCCACTCATGGTTCTTCATCCATCCACACTTACCAGTACCAATACTCTTCAGCTGCACTAACTGGACAAAAGAAATTATGTACAGAGCTTCTATGTTACTGGGAGACTTTGCAATGCAAAAAACCCCCAAAAAACTAAAGGGTTAAAGGGCCAAAGGGTTAAGAGTCAAATCATATCTGTCATAAACAAGAAAATATGTGCATGCTCTTTGGATAGAAGCCTGATTAGCTCGGATTGAAAATGGTATTTTCACGTCTGTCCACTGGATAAATCACTCTTAATATCTGGAACAATTAAATGTTTTATTACCATAGCAGTATATCTTAGAGCATGGCTAGTTCTGACCAAATTTATTACACAACCAGGCAGGATGTGTGCCAGATTCCTATATTTTGATGAATGTTACCAAATTACCATGCTACAGGTTGAGCCGTTGGCCTATACCACAGTTTGATACCAGAAAAAAACTGTTAAAAAAAACAGAACAGTTATCAAGACAGCTGGTCGATGAGTGTGCCATTCCAGCTCCTTGGTACTTTTCCACTTCCAGCTCAACACAAGAAACAGCTGCTTTCAAGTGAGATTTACAGAATTCCAAAGAGTGACTCAAGTTCACTGTCATCATCGGTTCTTGTGGCTACGTTGCAAGTAACAATAAGATCCAAGCACCTCCGAAGTTTTAAGACAGATAAAGTTTAGAAACTCTAATTTGATAGTATGAAATGAGACTTTTGTCAAAGAGGTTATTTTATCGAACATCTGTTACCCAGTGGCAATAGAACTAATTAGTTACTAGTGCATGAAGCTGCAAGCCTTCATTCATGGAAGCAACTCATGGTATTGCTCTTAACTTAAAAAGAAAAACAAAACATTTATACTTGAAACTCGAATGAAATTTAGTTCTATCTTTTTATAGGTTTGAGAGGTCTGATTAATGCTGAATGCATGAAGCTGAAAGACTGACCATAAAATACTTGCATCCCTCTTAGGATTCTGTAAAATCCTAATTACTGAAGAACAGTTCTAAACCAGATGTGAAAATGCATCAGTCCATTTAATTATTATTTTTTTCCACTCTCATTTCCCTTCACAATGAAGAAGGAAGGTCAGCAACTCCTGACAGCCAACAGGTCATGAGACTAGCAAATTGTTCTAGCTAACAGAGTTTCACTTCATTTTGTCCACATTTTCCAGCTCTGACTAAGGGCAACCTCTTCCTTTAAACATGTGATTTATATGTGTTGAAACCTGGTTCTTGAGTCGTGTGAACAAAACAATTTGCAGAGTTGCACAAAAAAGTTAAACTAATACTTTACAGTTTGCAAAATTATAACACTAATGACCCAAGCCACAAGCTGTGGTATGGGAAAGTTAATTTAAAGGTGGAGATATGGGTAATGCTTCGATTTAAATGCTGATTTTTTTACTTGTTCATATAATATTGATTGGTAAAATGTTGGTTGGTTGAGGACCCAATGGTGCAGGCAGCTTTGCCAGGGCTGCACCCACTGGTAGAAAAATGCCAAGTGAATAACAACAGCAAATACTAGATATAATGACACAACTTTACGAAACCCCCAAACCATGACTCATATACCATGTCTCTGCAGGCAGGCTTTTGGGTGCAGGACAAACATGTACAAATCCCACAATGTTTAGTCTTTTTAGTAAAGCTGATGCAACATTCAGAATGATGAATAAAATGAGATGAGCATGCACCTTCATGCAAATTTTAATTTGCAGAAGCTGAACGGTCACACTGTAACTTCCTCATGTGAACCAACATGCTAATGATGCGATGTGGAAAAATTGAATTCTGATCTCCAGGAGAGATAACGCTCCCTTCTCACCACCCATATTGAACTTTATAAATGTTTCCCAAGAACTAACGCGGACGGGCTATAAAATCTGATCTGTGAACTGTGCCCACTTCAAGGATCCTGGAGTTAATAGAAAACTTCTTGTTAATAAAACAGAAAGACTAACTTTTACAAGTGTCGCCTGCTCCTGATGAGCTCACTTGTAGAAGATTTAATTGCCAAGAAGTTCGGCAAAGTTTCCACAATGGAAATCGAACAGAATTGTGGGCCCGATGTGTTTTTACTTGGTTTAGTTACAGCTCAGACGTGCCTGCAGCAGGTGTTTTGGGAAATAAAAAACATTGCTGGTCCATCCAAATGAGACAATGCACCCAACTGTGTGGCAGTGAATGGGAATAGCTGTCCAACACGCAACTTGGTTTAATCTTTTGAAAGCAGCATGAAACTGAACAGATGGCCCAGTGTTGTCTTTGTTCTCCTGAGAGAACACAGCAGTAAGGAGTGTTGTGGTTTCACATGAGGACCATTCCAGAAAGGGGGAAAAAGTGCTTCTCTTTCAATTGATTTACATAACCCAGTGCATAAAGTGGGAAATTTTCTAAATCTCCAAAGCAGATTTCTCTCTCCTGACTTCGTTCAAGTGGATTTGCAGAGAGGTGCTGGGAGGGGATATTTGAGGGCATATCACTTTTCAGTCCCCCCAAAGAGGAAAGGCAAAAAGGGGGGATGGGGGGGGGACATAAATCTCCCCAATACTGGAAAGGGGGAACAGGTTCAGACATGTCTGGCCTTACTTCCAACACAAAAATCAGGAAAAAACCAGCTTCAAAAACAAAAAAAGTCTGGCATTAATCGATATAAAATCGCTGTACTGGTGCACAGAGGCACTTTGTCAACAATAAATTCTTGTCATTTTTAAACATCTGAGTCAAATGCGAAGAACCACGGTCGCAGAGCTCTGACATTTCAAAGCAAAACAAAGAACATGTCAGGGTCCCCCCCCACCAAAAAAGTGTAAAAATCCCAGTTTTGGGTTGACAGTAAAACCAGGGGGTCAGTGGCACCAGGTTTTTCCCGTAAAACACTTTCGCTCCGAGCCGAAATTGATTGTGGAAACACCTTGCAGCCTTTTGGACGCTCAACACTGAACTTACACAGATCTCGATTAAAACTGTGGCATTTGCATTAGAAAGGTAGTAAAAAAAAAAAAATTTTAAAAAAGGACTAATCAGCATTTTAACCGCCACAAAGACTAAGAGATAAGACTTCTAGTGCTGCAGAATTCAGGCCTTGAGGCGTGCTCTCAGAGGGTGTGTTGACCCCCAGTGATGAACCCTGAACCAAAATCATCTCATTCCTCAGGAGCAGAGGGAAAACTTGCATATCAGCTGAGGCTCATCTTGCTCTAGAGTCTGCAGCACTTTGTCATTTTAAAGTGTTAAATTTAACAGCATACCTCCAATATTCTGTCCAGCTCATCTTTGGACAGACAGGGGTAGTCCTCAAGTATTTTATCCTTCTGCTCCCTGTACTGCTCTGCAGCCAACTTCCAGTTGGGCTCCTCCAGGACTTGAAATATTGCTGCTCCAATGGAGAGGTAAAAAATGATGGCAGAGGTCAGCAAGGGGCCTTTATCTACCATACTTCAACTTGGACAGGGGGGGAAGCAGAGCAAAGGAGGAGGGGGCAGATAACAAGAAAACCCGACGTTATGCGGAGCTCATTCAAACAAAGTTCGTCTACAAGTTCTAAAAGGTTCTGGTTCCGCGCGGCAGAGCTGAGGAGAAACACAGGCGCGTGCAGCCGCTGGCAGCATCGGGTTCGAGGCATTAGAGGTTGTTCAAGCAAAAAAATGCTGGGGCCTGAGCGCGCGGGCGTTTCACTTGCAGTTTCCACGTGCGCGTCCGACGGCCAACTGCGTCCTGAAGTACAGAGCTGCGTGGAGGAGAGGGGAGGAGAAGGGAGGAGGGGGGGAGGGACGGAGACCCGCCCAGAGCCGAGGCAGGGGAAACTTTTAGTCCCCCATTCTGAAGTGTGGCTTGTTTTGAGCTGCAGGTGCACAGCTCCCACGAAAAGAAACAAATGCACGCAAAATGTGCACTTTTATTTTTATTCATTCAACTGAACCGCTTGATTTGTAAAATATGTTTTGGAGGAAGTGGGTTAAATACATTTCCTGCAAACATTAGTGGTGGAAAAAACAACAAAAGTTATCATAAAGGGATAGTCTGGTCATTTTGAAGTGATGTTCTGACATATAGTCATAAAACAACAAGTTTGAAGTATAATGAGCAGCCAGCGAAGGATAGATTATTATCATTTACACTTTGTCAAAAAAATATCATAATGTGCTAGAAAAATGCTATTGCAGCTCATAATAAACGTTTTTGCATGACATCATTTTTTTTTTTTTTTTAACAACATATCAATGTTGCTTTGCAAACTACTGAGCATAAAATGAATATCAAGTCGTTGGTGTTGAGGCTGTGTTGGTCGCCTGATCAGCGCATCTACTCCATTACAATTTACTATAACTAGAGAACAGACTGGAAGCTGGAAGCTGAAGCCATCATGGACAAGCTCCCCCTAGTGGCCGGCTGTGGTATAATTTTCAAGTCTGCATTACAACACAAAAAAGTACAAATACATTTCAGATTTATTTTCCTGCTGTTACTTTTTGATGATTCACATAGCACTTGTCTTGCTGCTGTGTTCATATGTGTATATATA